ACCCAGCTGGCCTTGGTAAGAACCAAGTAAGGATTTACAAGCATGGCCAAGTTTATTGGGCAATGAAGCTAGAACCGACCCCCCAAATGATGGTTGTGTCAGCTTGCCTCGGTTCTACTCCTAAGAGATTTGAAGACACTAAGAGGAATGGGAATGTGTTCAGCTTGCGATGTGCAGATCACTCATCATTCGATTGCAAAACAGTGTATCTGAATCACGTGTTCCAGTAACCACATGTGGGCTCAAGTCAAATCCCTCAAAGACTACAGGACAACTTTCCACACTCAAAACTGCCCAGAAGGGGCAAAAGGAAGGTTTTCAACTAAGAGAGATCACATTTAAGTAGGAAATGCCCCTGAGAAGAGGAAAGTTTATTGCATAAAGCTGATTTTAGACACTGTACTCTCAGTCAGTGCATCTAAGCTATTCTAGTGTCCCAAGCTGTGACAGCATGGAGTAGTTAGAAAACAGTTCAGCATTTTCACAGAGTAACAGTTGTACAAAAGCTTTGATGTCCTTGGGCATGCAACCCAAAGAAGAGGGTGACAAGCAGATTACTTGGAAGCAAGGCTATTTTTAGAAAGGAGAAAAATCTGTAATCAGAACACCCCCATAATTACTGGGCAGTGTTTCCTGCAAAATCCCAACATGATAGACTGTCCCATATAAAGTCACTCACCAAAACACTTCACTTTGAGCAGAGGATAAATAAACACTGAGAAAATAATTTGGTTTTTTAGCGCATTGTAAAAAGCCAGTAAAGAGCCACATGGTACAGTTGGGTCTGATTATCTGCTGAGGTAGCAGGAAAAGAACAATGCACTGCCCTTCCCTGGTGCAACCTCTCAGTCTGTCTCAGCTCTTTCTGGCTGTAGTCCTTTATTCATTTTGTCAATCCAAAACGCTTACACATTTGAGACACTAGAGTTATTTGCACATAAATCCCTTACATAGCAGGATACTACGGGTCCTGCTGGTGTCCCACATAACCTCCCTTAATGCATCTGACATCTCCTCCTCTATCTGGATGATATGCAGATTCCTTAATAATCTCTGGCTTATTCCTGATAGCACAGCTAGAATTATTAGTTTTGTTCTGTTTTTTAGTGGAGAGCAGCAGGTACAAGCCTAGACGGTGACAACTGACTATTCATTTCAATCTGGAACCACAGAAGCAAGCATCAATGCTCCATCCTCTTAGCTTCACAGTAACTACTGTGTACACCGAGTCATAATTCGGAGTCACACACTGATCTTGTCATCCATTTGGGCTGAACAGACAGAAAGCAAGCTTATTTAAAATGGCTCGTTCTAGCTACAGTACTTTAACTTCAGCAGTTCTCCTCTGCTTTTGGGGGACTAGTACACATGACTTTGCCATTTTAGGTTTTTTTCCCAAAACAGTATAAATAAGCATAAAAGCCCTGGGATTCTAGTTCCTGTGCACCATCAGTCAAATTGCTTCACTCCTTGTTTATAAACCACTGACTACTAGGATGAGGTCATGCCAGCTTTGGAAACAGAGCACTGCACTCCCTCTCCTCTCCGGCAGGCTGCCTCAGCAGTGTATCACAATACAGTACAGCTTTATGGTATTTCCAGGCAATTAGTGTTAGAGTAGGAGCCTTCCTAGTACCAAAAAACCCAGTAAACTCGTTATGAAGAAAGATATTCAACAACTGCCCAACGCTATACATTAGGTCTGTAACAGGGCAAGGTGCTTCTTATCCCAAGCCTGTACCCTAACCCGTGGGCCAGCTTTCCTAGTATAGAGTTTAGGAAGGGATACACACTGCAAGAGGAAATAAACAGCTGCTGAGTGTGTTTTGTGGGCAGGTTTCCATGCAGCTCATACCTTGCTGGGAAACTGCTGTATGATCTGTGGTGTGTATGTCATCTCAGATGCCTTCTTGTGCAGCGACACCACCACAAACAGCTCAAATAGCCGCTGCTCCTGAAGCTCTATCAAATCCCTCTCCAGAGTCTGGTAGTGTGGGTTCCTCTTGGAGGCTGACTGCACCTGCAGCAGGCACCTGTGTCGACCTGAAGAAAAGAACAAATCCAAAACCAGCCTGTGACTATCACTGCCACACACCTACAGGTCACAGAAGCGGACTCGTCAACACCTTTAGAAGGGGGAAGAGAGATGGGTGCATTTGCCTAACATCAATGCTGCGCTCTACAGGACTTGGACTCCTGCATCAGCTCCTCAAGCACAGAGCTGTTCCGGATAGGGGAGCACCGGTCTTGCTGCAGCTCTGCAAGTCCCTCTTGAGCGATGGCTAGCATTCTCCTGCTGTCCTGACATTCTTTCCACACCTCTCAGAGCAACACACCGTGGTAACGATGAGGGAAGCCCAGCTGTGAGAAGCAGCCCAGCTCCACCAGTTCAGTAACTGCCAGGCCTCAGGCAGCTACTCTGTAAAGCAGCATGGGCATTCAAGAGAGGCAGAGCCAGTTTCCTGGCCAAGAAACCTCCAGGCTGGGACATCTTGACAGGCAATACAGACTCACAAGCACAGGCACAGCACTCTGATGTAAGACATTCCTGTGGCCCAGGCATCATGACACATTCTGGACACTTTGGAAACAACTCTTAAATCAGGCAGTGACTCAATCGCTGTATTTCTGCAGAGACTCTTCACTCTCCATTACTTTCCTTAACATAAAAAAATGGAACTTCACTATTCGCTCCACATTAAGGCCTTCTGTGTGCTTCCCTCCAAGTAAATGAAACATCTAAAACGAGTCTGTTGGTCCTTTTTGCTAGATGCTTGCTTAGAGACAAGACAGAGTCACTCATCACGGCTGCTGGCCAACCATTACCATTTTGCATTCAAACCTTACCAGCACAGAAACTAAAACCTCTTTGGTCCTTCCCACACCAGCTAAAACCAAGTAGGTATTTCAAGTCTGTAGTTTGGGCCTATAATCATACTCAGGACAGTGGAACCAGACAAATAACCAAGTGATTTCCCCCCAGAGGAAAGGGCGTTTCACAACATTTTACATATAAAACAGAACCAAGGGAAGGAAGTGGGGAGAAAATAACCTCAAGTGTTAGCAGCAGAGATGATCCAGGGACAATCTCCTGCAAGACATATTTTAGTTAAGTGTGACTCTACCAACCCAAAAATTAATCTACTTCTAGCAGATTAATGGCATTAAACCTCAAGGGCTCAGGAGAAGTGGCAGAAATAGAGGTTGATTTGTCACAGCAACAGCTCCCAGCCTTGGCCATGCTGCCTCTTAGATGATCTTTTTTTTCTGTCTCACCAGAAGCCACAACTAGTCAGTGTGCTTATCCCATTAGAGCCGTAGCCAAATGTATAGTGCTATGGGGACAGGACCAGCCCCTGTGATTCACTCACTTTTTGGCTGATTTTCTGTATCGCTTTCATTCCCACTGGTTTCACCTGAAACACACATAGTTTTCACTTATTAGCCATGCGGAAAGAAGATGGGCAACACCTAATGTTGGGAAAGAGAGAGAACTGCAGACTCATCAGACCAGCGTCACTCAGGGCTGCCCACCTATCCCACTCAAAGCATCAGCAAAGAACAGCCGGTATTGGCAAATGTTCTACAACAGTAAACTTGAAAAAGCAGAGTTGATATCAAGTCACTGTTTCCAGTAAACCACCTGTAGCTCAGCTGAACACAGGCAAAGAATGGAAACCAGGTGGTTATTTGATGCTGCTATAAAAGTTAACAGACTTGCTGAACAGAATATACTACAAATAAAGACAATACCACGGCTACAAAATCAGAACACAAGAATATCACTTTAGAGGCACAAAAGCAGTGAGTGGAGTAGTCAGACGTAGTTCTCATGCCACGTGGTTTTGTGGGGAATTTTTGGGTTTGTTCTGCTTTTTTGAAAAAGCACTTTTAACCAGCAGCCCAGCTCTTCAGGCTTAGATCACAGCAGAATCTTCCATTTGTGACAGTGTTAAACTTGGCTTAGGCAAGTGTTCCCAGTCCTAGCGGTGCTGAAAGCTCAACAATTCCGGCTGCAAAACATGGGGTTTAGCACTGTTGAGTCAGCCCAGCATGAGCTGCAGGAGATGGTGGTGCCTGGCCTGCTAACTGTGCCCCAGGATGTACAGGAGCTGTGCCACTCAAGAGGTTTATGGCAAAGAGAATGGTGCTGGAGACCTCTATACCTTTCATTGGAGGTGCTTCTCTCCCAACAGGACTGAGCAACTTCACCCTCTTCTTTCCACGCTTAGAATCAAAGATCTCCTGTATTTTTAGTACCAGCTGAAATCCAAAGCAGAAGCAGAGGTTAATGCGTGGGTGCAGAAAAGGGTCCAGGTGCCAAAAGGACTGCAGCCCAACAGCTATCACCTAGCACCACAGCACTCGGGAAAGGCTGCCCAAGTCCTGCCAGGGACCCTGGCTCAGGGACTGCTTGCTAGAGTACTTCTAGCACAGCTCACTGCAAAATGAATAAGCACAGAATTTCTGCTACAAGAGACAGATTACTGTTAGCACAACTCAAAGCTGGAAGTTATCATAAATTGCTCACAAAACAGATAGCAGAAGCAGCAAACTGTCTGGCATCAGATCTCCATTTTCTACTAGAGACACCAACTGCAAAGGCACTTGCAAGAAGATCTTATAAATGCTCCACCACAAAGGACTCTGAACTCCACATGCTCTCAAGCATCCCAATTCGTTCCAAGCCCAGAAAAAGCAGAGCTCTCTCAGTGTAGCTTGGGGTTTGGTTTTTGTTTGTTTGGTTTGGTTTTTAAGTTTGCTGCTCTAGCTGGATGTCAGACAGCCAAAGTTCTCCAAAGCACCATATCGGGCACAGAACAAGGCTGCTCTAAGCATAGCCCTTGTCCCAGGGTAGTTTGCTAAAAAGAAAGGATTATGTACTTTCATTTTGCATAGGTGAGGACAGACAGTGGGACAGAACAATGGGGTCTATGCTTCAGGGACACCACAGACCTGGTCCACTGGAAGAAAAGATTTGGAAAAAAACGTAGCCCAATGCAGACTAAGCTACAGACATGAAAGAAGGGTCAGTATTTAGACACTCCACTCTCTGCTGTTAACCTTCCTTCCACTGGTCACAACGGCCTTAAAACCAAAGTCCTAATGCCTTCCGTCACTCCTGTCACAGGCCCCTCTGGGCTCCCCCCTCAGCTGCCAGGTGTACAATGCTGCACCTTGATTCTGCATGTCAAAGACGGCTGTCGCTTCATTGTGAAGAAGGATTTACGCGAAATGCAGTGAGCAGGTCAAGTTCATTCTTGTCTCAAGAATTCATTAAATGTTCCCACTGAATGTAGGAGGGTGGGGCCCAGCCATTTGTCACCACAAATACTGCATAAAAAGGAAGATATTCAGCAAAAGAACCTGTTTTTCAGCTCAAGCCTTTATCCACAGCTCAGCAAAACAGGCAGGCTCTTCTCCTTTTCAGATCTATTTCTACCCATTTTCTGCATTAGCCAGTCCTCCTACCACGATGAGGCTGCAAGGAAGAAAAGAGCCCACAGCAGAAAGCAGTTGCTTCTCCTGCAAAATCTGCCTTCTTTCCCCTCTACTGTCCAGCCTTACCTAGAGGGTTTCCATTTCTGTTCTGATTTTTGTGCAGTTGAGTCACCAGTGAAAGATACTGGGTGTGTTTAAGGCAGCTACATGTTTCTTAAACAATAAGTATGTTTTTTCTTTTTAGACTCCAATCCTTTCCTCAATCTCTCGAGCAATCTTGGCTCAATTCCTTGTGAGCAAAAAGACTAAAGTGTGCTTCCTGCATGTAAATTGTTACCAGATTTTTGGAATAGGTTTGCTTTTGGAGAATGTCTTATTTTCCCCCTCCAAATGAAAGATACTCTCCATCACAGCATTTTTATAATCTTGCCATCCCCTTCCTGATTTGCCAGGCCTACAGTTTGTTTAAAAACACATACAGAAGTTACTTGTTACTCTAAAGTACTTAACATTTGAAAACTGTTTTGCAGCTGTCCAACTCCACCTCACAGGCTTGTGCAATTTGAGCACATACACCCAATTTTCACAAGAAATAAAGATCTGCAAAAGTTAAATGATTTTACCATGGCAAAAGTAAGTTGTTGCCACTACCACAACTGGAATTTGAGTCCTATGCACGAAGTGCCACTACACTGGTAGCTGCAGCTGTCCTTCTAGAGCACATGCTGCATTTTATCTATACTGAAGGATATGAGCTGGTAATCAATACTAGTATCTAGAAAGATTCCCAATGCACCAAATGAGAATTACAACAGAGTCCTCTATCGTGAAGGTGGATTAAAAGCCTTTCTCGCTACTCCGGCCTCAGAAGCATACCTGCCTTTGCACACAGGCAGGAGGCAGCAGCCAGAGGCAGCAGAGGGCAGAACTGTACGAAGGCTCTGTGAAATGCGCTTATCCCTAAAAGCTGCTCTTCACCTTTAGACTACGAAACAGCTGCAAGGGTATGTTCCTGATGGCAAGAACTCCAAGCCAACAAGCCAAGTAACCAAGGGCCCAGCCAGCTCGCCACAGCAGCCCTACGCTGTCAGCCATCTAACAACTCAGTGCCTGCAGTGAGACCCTAAGGGTCAGCCTGAGAAGTCACCAGGAGCAAGGGACATGTACGCACAATTGTACAGACCTGGCCCTTCAGCTCACAGAGTGCTTCCTGGAATTCCTGCACCGCATTCAGTGCAAAACCAGCTTCATTACTCTTCATGGAAGCATTGGGAACAAGGCTTAAATGACAAAACACAAGGAAGAGCTGGTATTCACACACGGCACTGATCTCCAGGTCAACACCTAGTACTCCATTTGCAGACTGTTGGCCAACAAAACCACCACTGCCTCAGCTGGAACTGGCACTCTGTTTTTCGATTTGTGAACACCTGTCCTGCTAGCTGGAGGGGAAATGGTTCGAGCAGGGTCTCTTGCCCACACATACCGCAGTGCTAACCAGCGTTCGTTCACCTGCCAGACACACAGCTCCGCAACAGCACTCAGAATGTGCTAGACAAAGCAGCAAGAGTTCGAAATGCCATGCAAGGAGTAATGCTTAAATCTCACCCAGGGCAAGTTCTTTCTCCTGCTAGCAGCCTCTACTGCTCGGAACAGCTTCCACTCAGTCAGTGTGACAGGCAGGGTTGTGTCCTTCACCATTTTCCCTTGGAAACTTGCCTGGGAGGGCTTTAGCTCAAGAGTCTTGCGACTGAGAAAGGGAGGTTTTGGGGGAGGCTAGAAAACAGAATCAGAAGAGATGGTTAAGCATGGGATTAAGCTTTGGTCCAAGCTCAAAGGAGTCAGATTACAAATGATAAACTTCTGCAGCCTCCTGCTCTACCAAGCCCCCCATCCCACCCCCACCCCACATACTCAAGCATCTCATCAACATTCTCTTGTTCCTATTCTTTTGCTCCTTAGCAGCTTAATCAACCGCCACTGCCATAGCTGTTCGTTATCTTTTACATTAATAACAAACAATAAAAACTAAGGAAAACCAATGACGTAGCAATGGGGAATGCGGGGCCAGGGGGAGCACAAAATAGGGCCCTTGTGAGTATGACTCTCTGCAAACATGTGACGGTTTAATCCCCTCACCCTACCTTGGGAGCCCTACTGGTGCTCCGGGGGGGTGGTAGCTTCCAGACAGATGGGACCTTCCACAGGGGTAAGGGCAGTGCTCCAATATCTTCATAGGGGTTCTCTTTTGCAGGACCTGGAAAAGCATTGGATGGGACATTTATGAAAGGAGATAAAGTCCTGCATTCTTGCAAGGGATGTAAGCAGGAAGAGTGTGCAGTTGTCTGCCAACCTTTAACAGGGTCTGAGAGAGACCTGTTTTAAGATGGATAGGTTCCCACCACTCAAAGATCCTTCTAACCCACTACCATTAACTTGGCAGACTGTACACAGGCTCAGCAAAACAAAACACTTCTACCACTGCAGAGAAAGTACCTCTATTGCAAAGCAGCTAATTTTGTCAGTGTTCACACTGATCTCTGTGCAGCACTCGAGCAAAGCAGTTGAAGAGCTAATAAAGAAAACAGTTTAGCACAGGCCAATTCTAGCAACCTTCCATGACATCTGAAATCAGGCTGTTCACATGCAGATAGTTACTAACATCAACAAAGAACCCTGGACGGGGTAGACCTTGAAAGTCACAGAGCTGGAAAGGGCCTCAATGCATTCTCATCTTCATTCCTCCCTCCCCAGCAAATTTGCTACCCTTAATTAAAGCGAGCGCATCCCCCAGAAGCACAGGCACATACAGATAATGTCCTCGTAGATGTTGTCTTCTGACTGTGCGTAGACGAGCCTGGATCCTGTAGTGCCATTCGTCCTTTCTCGAAGTCTGTGGGAGTTGGTGGTTGCCATCCGGTTGCGGAAGCCCTGGATGTCCTCAAACTCAAAAGATTTCCTAGAGGAAAACCAGTGTAACGTCTTCTAAAGGCATCTGCATGTACCAGTGAGTTGCTGTCTCCAGTCCACACAGAGTATGGTCCTCCTTGGGGCCATCAAGCACACGGATGCTCCACTCTGGACTCTCTGATTTCCAAGTGTTGAGGTTTAACCCCAGCCAGCAGCTCAGCCCCACACAGCCGCTCGCTCACTCCCGCCCAGTGGGATGGGGGAGAGAATCAGAAGGGTAAAAGTGAGAAAATGCGTGGGTTGAGATAAAGACAGTTTAATAGGCAAAGCAAAAGCCATGCATGCAAGCAAAGCAAAGTAAGGGATCCATTCACTGCTTCCCACCGGCAGGCAGGTGTTCAGCCGTCTCCAGGAAAGCAGGGCTCCATCACACGTAACTGTTACTTGGGAAGACAAATGCTAAAACTCCAAATGTCCCCCCCTTCCTCCTTCTTCACCCAATTTTTATTGCTGAGCATGATATCATATGGTCTGGGGTATCCCTTGGGTCAGCTGGGGTCAGCTGTCCCGGCTGTGTCCCCTCCCAGCTTCTTGCCCACCCCCAGCCTGCTCACAGCGGGGTGGGGTGAGAAGCAGAAAAAGCCTTGAAGCTGTGTAAACACTGCTCAGCAATAACTAAAACACTGGAATATTATCAGTAATATTTTCATGACAAATCCAAAACATAGCACCAGCAAGCTACTATGAAGAAAATTAACTCTATCCCAGTCAAAACCAGCACACCAACCGAGTCCTACTCGCTTAACTCTGGGAGACTTTTAAATTAAAAATTAAGTTGGACGCCCCATGGCCAAGCACACTTCAAGCAGGTATGGCGAGTCCCATCCTGTCACAGAGGCAAGAACCCAAAACATGTTTTGCAGACTAAGCACTTGCAGCAGTACTCAGAATTAGGGCACTGCTTTCTACTGGACCTCTCCTACTGCTCATGCTAAGGGTGTTACCGCATTTGTGAGTTTGCATTTTCGTACACTTGGCCTCCATTTCAAAACTATGGCACAGAGGTCACAAAGGAGCTGGCAGAGATTTAGCCCATCATCACAAAATTTAGTTTGTTGCTGCACACTTTGCCATGGTGAAAGAAGGTTTCAGGAGTCCTAGCCACATCTCCACCTACAATGTTCACACTACTCGCTAGCACAGCTGCCCTAGGCAGCTCATCTGCAAGCAGAGCTAGCATCAAGCTAGCTCAGAGGCGTTGTACTCTGTAACAGGCACCTACGTACGGGGAAGAGGGAAGAACAGCCAAACCTACTGCAACAGGAGCACCCACAGCTGACAGCCTCCAACTTTAAGCAACAAGAGAATCTTTCACTCACAGGAAAGCCGGAACACTTAGCAGCCATACTGCCCCAAGAGAAAGCTATTCTGTAATCCACAAATTGCAGCAGAGGAGAAGCTCGGGGAAGAAGCAGGCAGCACTCTCCCTGGGGCCAGCACACCAGCATATCGTCACTCAACTCTGGTTTAAGGTATGTGACCGACATCTGTTTGGAGCTTTTAGCCTTCTTTGCAAGATTATCAGCAGCAAAAGCAGTGCATACGCAATGCTGGAAAAGGGATACTTTCATCCAGAAATATCCTCTCCCCATCAACAGAGGCATCATCAGTACTAGCACCTCCGCAAGGATATCGTGGCAAGCTCTTTAAACCCATCTAGAAATTGATTTAAGGAAACATGTTTCAAACATGACAGATGAATCGATGTACCTCTGGGTTCTCTCTCTGATCCTCCCGCTGGCTTTTCTCTTCTCAGGATTGCTGGAGGATGACACCAGGTCTCCTCCGTGCTGCTTTTGCAGGGGAGCTTCCCTGGTAGCTCTGGCATCACTACAGCTACTAGCATCCTTTTCTGCGAGATAGCGGAAAGTCCTACGGGGCTTGGGTGGTGGGACAGCAGCTGGCTCCTCCTCTTGCCCCTCAGCCTCAGAGTAAATGTTTTTCAAGCTCCTCTCTGCCCTGCAGAGAGAGTCCACTCCTTTAAGTTCTCTTTCTGTGGAGCCACAGCTCCCTTGCTTCCTCTGAAGGTCCAAGGGAGCTGGTGGGGCTTTGCCAGGCAGAAGGGGATCTACTCTCCTCCACAGAGCTTGTGAGGTATAGAAGTTCCCTGGGGGCAGAGTCACCCCTGGGTCCAGGAAGCCTGCTTGCCACTCTCCTTTCTCCTTGGCTGGGGAAGCTAGGCTGCATGCACAGGGCTTGAGGTCACCACAGTCATCAGTCTGCAAGCAGCTCCGTGTGTCTTCCCTGAAGTCCAAACCCAGGCTCTTCGGATCTTCGGACCCAGTCTTTCTGCCCTTCTCTGTATGTTCTGGCTTTACTTTGGGTAGAGCGTCGCAGCTGGGATCATACTTTACTCCAAAGTCCTTCAGCTGCTGTTTCTGCTTGCCAGAGCACCCTCGTGCCCTCCCCTCCCACTGGGAGATCTTCTGTTTGATGTTGCGGCAGTGGCTCCGGGAGAGGGTCTGCACAGCACAGCGTGAGAAGCTGCTGTCCGCTGACCCTGTCGGGTGCATGGCAAGTGCCAATGTGCTTACAAACGCCCCATCTCCAGCCTCGTCCAGGTCCAGCTGTGCCCTGCATACATCAAGCTGGCATGAGACTCCAAAGCACCCAGTGGTGTCCAAGAGCCCCTGGGTGTCAGCTCTGCAAGGACTGCCTGCTAGCACGACCTGCAGACAAAAAGAAGAAAAGAACCATCAGCTGCACTCCAGCCATACGCACCACCAGGAACTCCCAGCTGCTCTCTGGCAATTGCTGAAGAACATTCCTCCCCAAATCACATGTTCAAGAGTGGCTTCCAGAGCACGCTCCCCACAAAGCCTGTTTCTGTAGCACACATCTGGGAGGGCTAACAAAAGGAAGCAGAGGTCTCACCAGCTTAAAAAACAAACAAAACACCACAACAGGAACAAAACACAGCCAGGGATCCCAAGGGTCCGAACTCAAGGAAATTATTTAATGGCACAGGAACACAGCAGCATGGCCCGTCTGCAGCAGAGCTCTCAGCCAGCTGCTCTGCTGCCTCCTTGTACCGATGCAGGCTACGCAGGAGTGCTCGGTTTCTCCTGATGCTCTGCATTGCTCAGAGCACCTTAGGCAGCAAACAGCCAAACCACTGCAGCACGATGTCTCTACCAGAGCTCTCAACACAGCAGAGACACAGCAAGATGCAAGATACCACGCCAGCTGTATAGAAATGGAACCACATCTACTCCAGAGAGTCGTCAGCAGCAGGACAGATGCTGCGTCACACAGGACTAGGACAATTGTGATTGACCGGAGAAGAGCCCAGCTGTACTCCTCCTCCCAGAAGTGCTCTCCACTGCACAACACAAGTGAAAACCTGTCTGATGTTCTGCTTGTCAACGCCTGACCTAAATTTGCCATCAGAGAGACCGGAGGGCAGTGGTGCCCAGCCTGCGGCTTACAGCCAGGGGAAGTTTTAAAAGGCATGTAACAGAGAGCAAAAGGCAGAGGAAATTGGTGAGTTCTCATGCTCAAGAGGAAAACAGCCCCATGTTTAGATCAGCAGAGGAGAAGGAATGCTAAAGAAACACTATGACTTCTCCTACCCAAGCAGAGCCTGCGCAAACAGGAGCTATGCTGTTTGAGACCACCCCAACGTACAATCCAGAGGATACAGCAGTCCTCCAGATAGTCTTGCAGCAAGAAAGGCAGATCCAGCCAGCTCTCACTGCCAAAAACTGGGTACGTGTCCTCCAAAGCTGCTATTATGACACCCAGTCTTCATTGACTCACCAGAGCCTGTAAGAATTTGCAGAACCAAGGATGGGAAGCAAACCAAGCTGGAAGACAGAGGAGCTTAAACCTGCCTGACAAGGGTTCATGCCCCATGCTCCAGGCCGGGTGTGGAGAGCCCCTACAGCAGCAGAGGCCTGCATCCTTCCCACCGTTGATACCGCACCTCACATGCCAGGGCTCCAGTGCTACCGCCCCTACCCCTGGCACGGCTGATCTGCTTGGCGGAGACATTTGCGGTGCAATTAAAAGCACTGGCCTTGGCAGACCTGCTTGATATAGTTAGTGAGAAAGCTCATTGATGTAGGACAGCCCAGGGCTCCCCAAGCAATTCAGTGGTGGCTTGGGCACACACATGGCATCAAGCCTCTGCTCTCCGCTGCACTTTCACACTCTCTACCAACGCAGCACTGCTCGCTGTGGCAAGAAGCTCACTGCTGCCTGTCTCCAGAGAGAACAGCATGGGTTCTTGCAGTCTGGCATTGCTTATCACATTGTCCCAGACAGCCAGTAACTCTCCCACTCAGCAGTGAATGGGCTAAACTTAGACAATCTGGGTAAGCAAATGAAGCGGGGGTTTTTGCTCCAGCATCAGCATTCCACCCTGTCCTCAACGCTTTTGTAGCCACACCGCTCCTGACCACCACCCAGCACAACTCTGAAGAAGCGAGGTGAACTACTACTGCGCAGGTGGCCCTGCAGCTCCAGTGCCAGCTCCAGCGTGGCACGGCACCCCCTTCCCACTCCTGCCAGTAGCAAGGTGCAGGCAGGGGATGAGCAGACAGAAGAGGGCTGCCGATCCCCTCATGGAGGGGCAGGGAGACAGTAGAACAAGTTCGAGAATGACAGAGAACACACACAACAGTGAACCACACTACCCCACTCTCCCCGACTCAGGGGGGACTGCAGGGTACTGCCCAGGGCACTGCAGTGCTGCTGTGCCCCACTGCGAGACCCTCTTCCCACACAACCCGGCTGCTCCCCTGCTGCTCCAGGCAGCAAGGGGCCCCTGCCCTCTCCTATAAATAGGCATTGTTTTCAAAACATCCCGAGCCAGAGCAGAGCCATCCTTCCTCAATCCCTGTCTGCGCAGCCCTGATTAGCAGACAGGAAAGCAACCTTCCCCTTTCTTATGCCATTGCAACTACTCTACAGCAACAGTGCTCAAGGCCACTCCTGAGGACCTGAAGCACAAGCTTGCAGAGAAGCAAAGGCTCTGATGGGGAAAGCCAGACTAAGAGAGGGGCAAAACAGCCTCCTTCCAGCCAGTACAGCTTCAGACCAGGCACTTTTAGTCCCTGCCAGGTCTGCAAACACAGGACCACTGGATGCAGAACTCACACAGGGACAGACCCCCGAAGGACTTTGCAGTGTGGAGCAATGGGCTTATTCACAGGACTCAGCACTTCAAGGCCAGCATATGCATTCATGGAGCACATGCAGCTCCATGCTGATAGCAAGCCCACGTGGCACCAAAGGCTCCCTTGCTTCCCAACAGCACTGGCAGCTTTCTTCTCCGAATACACAAGCTGTCAGCTACCCCTGGGCTCAGACCAGCAGCCTGGCAAAACATCTGCATGCAGCATCCATAAGGGCAAATCACTGCACAGAGGAGACTGGGTAGCCCTGGTCAGCTTTCTAGTTGGGTCCATCCTCAGAGTGTGGCGGGCTGCCTGTCCTCAAGCAGGTCAGGTCTGCTGGCCTCCAGCCTGCCCCGTATCCTTCCTCCTATGACTCACGTTGGTAAGGGTGCAATGAAAAGTGCATTTGCCATAGTTTCCTCAGCCAGTCTGTCATATTTGTGCTTCCCGATATAGAGCCATGGCCCACGTCAGCCTAATGCTCCTGACCTCTCCTACTGTCCATATGTACTTCCGTGATGAGGCACACCAGCAACTGTGAAACACAGTGGAGAAGCACAGTCCCAGCCAGCATCCAGGTACTGGTGAGACTGTGTCTGCAGTGCTGCCTCTGGTTCTGCTCACTGATGAATGCCCAGAGTTCCAGCAGCTCACCCAGTGCTCAAGCAATTACCCGACTCTAGCATCCAGAGCTACGCAGACCCATATGCAGAAACAGGATCCGCATTGAGTTTATTTCCTCCCCATCAGCATAAACCTACCAAGCAATACTGGTGAGCAGCAAAGCTCCACACACTGGCTGGAGAAGTAATATTACTCAGAAGGTGAAGTAATAACCTGCACTCACCTAAGAAGCCGTACAGTTTTGAGTGCAACAGCAAAGATCTTTCCCAGGCATGTCATTGATCTTTGAAGTACCAGATACAACCAGAAACCCATGGCTCCTGGCTCACCTTAAACACAGACAGCAGAGCACAAGCTTAAAGCACCCGATGTTCTTTCTTGCTCCGTGCTGCTCCACCAGCCACAGCCCTGAACTGTGTCTTCCAAAATAACCATCTGAGGAGGAGAAGAATGCGGCTCTTCACCTGTCCAGGCTTGCAAGGCAGGTGGCTGCTATCAAGAACTAGGCGTTTAATCTAAGCTCATCACGTGAGCCAGGTCAAGGATAGAGACTGATCTTTGGTGAAGAAAGAGCAGACTGGGGTGGTCTGATCCAAGCTAAGTAACCCTCAGACACAGTCAGACAGGCCACAGTCTGAGCGAGACCACCTGAGTCCGACAACCAGCACTTCTATCTCAGGCACCACACACACCATTCGTTTCACAAACTAACCAGACTTAACATGACTGCTTCTCTCCTGACCTCTCCTTCCAACTCCTACAGCGGCTCCAGTATGCTTCCCAGTATTTCCACCGAAGCCAAATTTATCATCCCTATTGCATTAGTACTTACAGCAGTTCCGTGTAGTCAAGAATAACGAATCATTTAATTGAAAGCAGTAGTTTGGGGCGAAAAGAAATTAAATCATTTCTAGACCAAGTATCACACATTTCTCCCAAAAGGCAGCCTCTCCGATCCACACTGTTTGAAGACAGCTTCCATATCTTTATCCAAAGCAGAAGAACAAGACACATTCACACCACGATAGGCAGCCCTGACTCTTTTTCCAATTCTGAAAGCCAGAGAGCACGCTAAGCATTTTCCATGCAAAGTCTCAAGACAATTCCATTTCCTGAAACCACATGCTCAAGGAGAGAATGCTGCCAGTGCTGTTCAAGAATAAAATACTCTTTGATTCTGAGGTCAAGCCCACCCACCACAGGTGCTGCTGGTACCCCACAACCCCCCTTGCCACACTCATGCCGGCACCTGATTAGCTAAACAAAGGCACTAACACACCACCTTACCTTCTCCTGCTGCACAACTGGCATGAGAACACGGAAAGCACTGACTTGGCAAGCCCATGCAGTTCTGAAGCAATCTTTCACTCCTTTTATGAGAGCTGTGCAGTTCTAAACCACCCAAGATACCTCCTTGTCACCAAGCCTCCTGTGTTGGTAGCCAAATAAAAGACAGTTTCTGGTGTTCTGAAGTCTAGGGATGCTGCCAGCTCAGTCCTGGAGGGATAAAGGGACAGTCAGCACAGCAGCAAGGACCCCTTCCAGAGTTCTCAACCGGGAATGAGTTCTCAGCTCAGCTCAGAATGGGAGTCCATTCTGTTCAGCTCCAGAACAAACCTGAAGCGTTTCTGAACAAAACTCTGCCATGCTGATGCCTGAAAGACATGGGCAGTACCAAACAAGCAGATTTTATATTGAAATAAGTAACACTTCAGGAATGCGGTATGCTTAGTCATTTCCATCTCAATACAAAGCAACTCTACTTATTA